TTTCTGGAATCTACATGAATCTACCATAAGTTTAGTATATATGTATATATATATATATCCATCTCTTGCTGTTACGGATGTTGGCACAGAAGAGCAAGCCTCCCGCCAGAAACGGGCTTTGCGAGCAAGAAACTGTATCAAAGCCTCAGCGGCCTTGTTCCCTTTTCCTCCCATCTTCTCATACTGCAGTATTGTATCTGGCTGAAACACTTTGTAGAAACCAAGCACGTCCTCACACCTGAGATATCATGGTGCTTCAATGCTGGCGGCTGTTTTGGACAATATCAAAGGGCAAAGGGCCCCGCAAGCAGACGCCAAGGCGCAGCAACCTGTAACCATCCTCGGACAGAGTTGGTACATTGGGCGGGGGCCCATCATTGGCGAAGACCACCAACGGCTCCAAATTCAATTCCTGGTAGCAGTCATGGTGCCGGAAGTCTGAAGGTCTTCATACCGGCAATTCTCTATCCTATGACCAAAAATCTGACTCCGACTCTGCTCTCAGGTTGATTTTGGATTTGGTGCAAACATGTGCAAACATGTCTGTCTCGGTTCTCCACACTCCAAAGCTCGGTTCTCCTGCTTCAAGCGGTGGGCCAGCAAGGCCATGAACTGTCCGCCAACTCCATGAGATAAGAATCCAAATGGGGCGCCTTCAGACACCCCGCCAGAGGCATGAGTCCTTGACGCTCACTCGACATCCGATGAAAGCACGGAGCGATCGGTCGAAACCGCATAGAAACGAGCTCCGCTTGAATCCACCACCTACGGTATGTACCGAGTGACAAAGGGCATCGCTACGAACGCAGCGATCGGCCGCCGATCGGCCGCCGATCGTATGTCGCTGTGCCAAGGTGCTCAAAGGCAGGACGCATGACCCGAAAGGCATCCTCTGCACGCTCTTCCAGGCTCCGATCCCAAGCTTCATCGGGACGAAAGCCATGGGCACGCGGCTCCTAAAGTCACGTTCAAACGGTCGAGGACATTTCCCCAGTTCCCACGGGATCCAAGCGGCATAAACTGCGACTTCACACCATGGTGGTGCTGAAGTTGCAAGTTCCAACCACAACCTTGGACTTGACAATTCCGAACAGGCAGTCGCTGCCTTCCTCTCCTTTTGATGGCTTGACCGTGGAACTTTCGACTTAGAGTGACAGCTTCAAAGTAATGACCCACTGGCGTTGCCACTGGCACTTGGCAACACATGCGCCGTGGGGTGGGTTTGCGGGGCAGTTGCGGATGGCCAACAATCATCAAACGGCCAAATGCTGCCTGGGTACATGTAGTTATCAGCTGCCCCAGGGAAACAGTAGAGTCGAATCATTGGCTTCCGGGACTTTTCGGGGAACTGCTTCTTGGCCTGAGAGGATCAGGTCTTCTTGGCCATCGCTGTTAGCTTCCTTTAGACGTCTTGGTTTCTTAACGTCGTACCTTGTCCGGGAGAGCTGCCCAGGTAGGAAGCCCAATGGTCCGTGGCATCACGGGCAACTGGCCCCCTTGGCGGCAGGGAGCGCGAGCGCAGGTGCTGGTCTCCACTTCGGAGTGAACTCAACACCGTGTCAGAGGTAACAGGTAAAACGTGAGTAAAACATATTCTGCGCCCCGTTTTTGCCAAAAAACAGTAAGGCACATTCAGCGCTTGAATCGGTGAATCCCAGGTCCTGACTCTCCAACAGCTCGGATTCTGGGTCGAATGGTTAGTGCCTCCAAATCGCCCAGGTAGTCACCAGGAGCTTCCTTCGCTGAGCCCTGGTGCAGATGCGCGGGTTCAACGTGAGGAAGGTTGACTTCTGAATCAAATCAACTGCTCAGCGGCCCTAATAGCGATGGCCTCCAACCTGCTTAGCGATGGCCTGGACCCTAAGAGCGGAGCCTTGCATGCCAAGAATTCATCCAGAAGGTCAAGCTTTACCTGGTCTCTCGTCCGGCCGACCGCGACAGAAAGCACAGCGTGTAGGACATCCTGTGTGAACACTAAATTTGAATGATAACAAACGCTGCTGAAAGGCAAGCACCTTTTGGAAGACACCTTCGGGTATCTGCTCGAGTTGAGGGAGAGAAGAATCTGATACGAAACTCGATTTCGGTTTGGCCCGCCCACTCTCAGAATAGATAAAAATGGAAGATTTCTCGTCGGTAGAATGCACTCGTGAGCTGATACATGGTGATTTGCATGATGCAAGACAGTGCTATTTGACGTTTAGGTGTCAGGTGTGTGAAGTGGTTAGTGATATGTCGCTGGTTGATTTCATCGAAAATAATGTAGAGTTGCGTGGTGAAGTCTCGTGTTGGTGGCCTGCATGAGGCGAAAAGGGGCTCAGGGTGAGGAGGACGAGGAGAAAAGAAGGGAGGTGGATACCTGGCCAGAGAGGAAGTATTAGTGACCTACCGGCCAAGAGTTTGTGGGTCCTTCCGGATGAATTTCATGACTTCGTGTCTGTTCTTGTGGTGGGTTTTGACGACGTTGAACAAGGGAAGGACTACAACCCGGCCACCGTGCAAGCCTTTAATTCACCTACTAGCGATGGCCTCCACCCAAATAGCGATGGCCTCCAACCTAATTGCGATGGCCTCCAACCAAATTGCAATGGCCTCCAACCTCATTGC